AAGGCAAACATAGAGTTTTATAACATTGTTAATATATTTGTTTAAGAGCATGTTCGAAGCGTATCAACTGAAGAAAGTAGCACCGAGTGAAGAATTATTTGTCTTAAAGGCACAATATGCCTCAGAAACAAATAAAATTTAACTTTTTTAGAAAGAGCATCCATGAATTTTGTATTTTTTAAATATATGTTTTAGAGCCATGTTAGATGTTTGTTACCTGAAGACAGTAGTGCAAAATGTGAAATTATATGTTATAAAAGTAGTAAAATGTAAACAAAGTCGTATTTTAACTTAAATACAAAATACTTAATCACTAGATATGTAATGATTACAAAAAAGAAGAAGAAAAAGAAGAAGAAAAAGAGGGTTAAAGTAATTAGCCAATGAGTACCTGTGTGGAAACTATAAAAAGGTTTTTAAAAATAAAAATATAAGCATTTCTGGGGCATAATTACGGTGGCATAAAGGTGACATGTGTGTGCTTTATTTATCTCGTGGCCACGAGATACTATGTCGTGGCCACGAGTTACTTAGTCGTGACCACGAGATACTATGTCTTTGCCATGATTTACTAAGTCGTAGCCAAGAGTAAGCTAGAGTAATATAATCGTCAGGAGTTTTCCTCAAGTACCACACCTGGTCTGCTGTGCTCAATCCTGACAACAATGATTGAGGATAATATATCGAAATAATGATATTATGTTTTGAAGAAAAAATAAACATGTATATATATTTATCTCATTCAGTTCATTTCATATTGTAGACATAAATATGGTATAAAGAAAAGTAACAAATCCGTACAACGTATATCAAAATATTGAACCCTGAACTGTTGATATGATACAATACACGGTAGCAGTTTATAATTATTGTTAAAGAATATAATATCCGCCTTCTTTACGAGAAATTGTTCTGTGGAATAATGGTCGATACGAAGGTCATCTGATATAGGTTCTAGGACGGCGTTGATATTAACGTAAGTAGTCATAAACGTTTTACCCAAAAAAGTGCGTACATGTAAATAGAGGATATTTAGTTGTTCTGTAAAAACGCTATGTTATATCACACAAAGAAGTAAGAGAATTATTTTTGACGAGCGCGTATGGACATGTTGATGTTTTGCCACGTCGTTGTGTGATTATATAAATGTACATGTAAAACATAATTTATTTAAAAAAAACAAAACAAGAACAAAAAGAAAACAAAGCAAGCAACAATATAATACAGTAGGGGCTATTTTGCGTGGATTGTAAGTGTCGTTTGCAATGTGTAAATTGCTTCCTTTGTTCACTTCACAATATTTTACTTTTAAATACAGTTTCCAAATTGCTATGAAAATAAACATGGATCTTGAGTTATGCTGCTTTAACGATATCATAACATTATGTTAATGATGAAATTTTAAAGAATTTAATTATTTCAATTTCTCAACACTATGTTTTTCGGGGGTCATTCAGCACGTAGCTGCAATTTTACTGAAATTATCCGATTTAGTCTGAATCACTCAATTTTCATTCAGTTTTACCTGGTTATCATCCATTTCCGGCTTCTTTCAACAACTTACGATGCCATGTTCTCAGAGACCAAAACTGGTATTGCAATAATTATTATAAAACAAGACAAAATTATTTCGGTTTATTTTCTTCCCATTTAATTTTATATAAAGCAGGAATGTATTTCAACAACTTCAAGTGTCTTACTCACATTCACTTAACTCTTAATTATAAACTCTTATTATTTTATGTCCGTTAAATTTAACTATGATGCCAACGTAATGTAATATCTTCCGTATTCTATTGACATTAAAGTGTTTATTCTGATTTATATAGTGTATATCAGCCCCTACATGTTACTTTATATATGATTAAAGAGAAATACTTGGAAAACATCTTGACATTGGAAATAAAATAACAACCGAAAGACTAAATGTCTAAATACTTAGTAAGTAAGCCCTGAAAGTGTTCACTGTCGCAAGGACAATATATCAAGTGTCGTTTAAACAAATGAAATTAAATTTGTCAACTCATCAATTTCCTTGAAATTCTCTGTCTTATGGTACTTAAAATACGACTGAGCGAATATCTGTCAAGGGTTAAAGGTTTCCCGAAAAAAAAATATCAGCGTAATTGTTACTTTAAAAAAAAAATGAGATTAACAGCGGAATAATGTCATCATTGCGAAGGGAAAAAAATGCAATAATTGTCATTGAATCGAGAAAATTTAATATGCTTTGAAAGAACAAGATACACAATGCATTTATAAGGAAATTTACGGAATCATAACTTAATACGTAGGCCACAAAAATAGGCAAAGCTATGTTAACAACACTATCAGTGATATACTCTGAGTACTATGGGTTTTATATCACTAAATAGAAACCGAGACTTTCATTTATAAACATAAACTATTACAATGATTTGACAGAGTAAGTCTTGCATATCAGACTGGTGTTTCCGTTAATTTTACTCATGCCGGATATTTCATCTGTCATGGGGGTGCCAGATAAGTCGCGTGCTATACAATGGCATGCTTTGGATGACGTTATTTCGCCGTTGTGAATGAAGTTGTTATTTCATACGCTGCTGTACGAAAATAGTTACGGGTGTAAGGACATAAATTTTCAATCGGATTGTAATATCCGTCCGTCGGGACCCTGCCGATTGGCGAGTCCCCTGGGGACGGATATTAAGATCTGTACAGCAACATATGACAGCTATAATTAATTTCAAATAACAGCTCAAACTGTTGACAAAGTAAAATTTACGCTAAATATCTTATCGTTAAGCAACAGTAATCCCTAAACAGGTAGCATAGTGGGCGGATTAGAGAGGTAGTACGTCCGATTCATAATTAATTAAAAGATATTTTAAACAATATCTCTGTTTTTGTTAATCATTTTAAAACATCAATACGATAAAGATAACAACAACGTTAAATTATCCATTGCAACTGTTTATCATTCTCTGTATAGCCAAATGTATGGTAGAATAATAAAACTCAAAATATGTGTACTTCAGACATGAAATATGCTAAAATTGTGTAAATGCATGTCTGCGGGGGTTAAACCGAATGAATAGGCAAATACGAATGGGCAAAAAACGAACCAAGCATGCATACTTGACCGTGATGTTTAGTATATCTTTATACAGATGAAGAGATATTTATTTGAATGTACAAGTATATTGCCGGACGCTTGCATATATCTGTCGATGTTTACCTTGTTCTGTTCTCAGTTTGCAATTGACATGTTAATAAATATATATTACATCAATTTAAAACTTATTCTGGCGAATATCTGAAAAATGATAGATCAGATTATTTTTCCCTGAAAACTACACAGTGATGAATGGAAAAGCACGCGTTATATCATTAAGAAATATTGGCGTCAACTTTGACGTCGCGTTTCTACGATTACGTCATTTGACCACTGTGTTGGAAATGTCATGACACGGCTTTTTTATTTTATTATAACACAAATAAATTTCTTGAACTTTGATTGGCTAAAACACTGTGTATCTGTAAAAAAGAGTAATTTTGCTGTATCATATATTCGTTATAAAGATTCCTGACATGTTACATGGCCGTATGTAAACGGTTATTTGAATATAATTAACCTTCGCCTAGCGATTCAGTTTATATATACAAATAACTGTTTATATAGGACCATATAACCTGTCAAAATCTTTATTACTAATATTGTAAACACAGTATTGTATGATACGGAAAGTGGCGAAATTGACCGAATGTTTGGTTTATACAGAATTTATTTTAGTTCGATTGTGAAGGAAGCTATAAGCTTATAAACACACTTTCGAATCCGTTCCTAGAACCAACCAGTACTGAGCAATGAGTGTAAAGTTTCTTGCTCAAGGAAACAACGACTTGTCCCTGTCAGGGTTTGAACACATGCGGTTAGCGATCATAAGATTATTAGTCCGAAGCGTTAACCACTCGGCCATGCCGCCACTATGACCGAATGTTTACAAACTATACATGTATATAATGACGCATCGTTCATTCTGTGAACATACTATATATCAGTCAATCTTGTTACTATAAATAACTTCAGAAAATTTTGAGAAACAACCCGAATAATCATTACGATCACATTGTATTAGAAACGCTAAGGTTACGATAACGTGTAAAAGTAACGTTCCTTTAATAAAGTTATTATCTTTTCCCAAGAGAAAATCTTTTATGATGAAAGTGGGTTTTTTTCTGATCGTTATCTCATTTGTCTGAATAACTTAGGAAACATTATTTTTTGTTTTTGCATTTATGAACTGTTCTGTTGATAATATAAAGAACTTAATAACGCATATACGCTTTAAAGGCAGTTGTTAAAAATACTACACATGCAGATAGTACACACATCAAAAAGGTTTGCAATAGTTTTAAGAGAATAAAATAAAAAAGAAGAAAAAAAGAAATCGTTGAAATCGGATCCGAACCTACCAGTTTACGTCTACAGTCTTCATGTGAAAACCCTTTACCAGCTTATAATTAACACCATTTTAACAATTGCATATTTACATTCCTATCGATTTACAAGTAAAACGTAAACCGACTACAGGGTCAAATGCAAGAGTGCCAGGTCAATGTTGTTGGACAATATATACACTATATCAACGTCTAGATTATCAAATGAAAATGCACGTTACAACGGTGAAGTATTATAATAACAGTTATATCAAAGGCAGTTTTAAAAATCTTAATATGTAAACAAATGAAACGAAACAATGCAAAATGAAACTACCCTCGCGTCCTGTTTTAAATCAAGTTTATCCATGCGTTTTATAAACAGCCTATTAACAGTTCCATTATGATAATATACATAGGCGTAATAAAAGTCTATAAAAATGCTGACATTTCCTTAAAGATTCTTTTACAAAACACGCATTATGAATATATTATTTGCCCTCAATGCATTTTAAAATGGCGTAAGTAACCAAACATTATCATGTAAATAAATGTATTCATTTTGTCTTTTATTTTTTCAGTAAAACGGGGGTTCTGCTCCACGAGAAATCTAAACATAACGAACGGAGATTACCGATTACGTGCCGGAAGTTCCGTGGTTGACTACACGTGCAATTCTGGATACCATATGTATGGTATGGACAGGGCAGTGTGCTTCGGCTCCAAGTGGTCCAGTGATCCACCCATTTGTATAGGTAAGAGACCACAAAAATACTATGTGCGGGTGGTGGCTGTTACTTTTAACACTACGCGCAGTTCTCATAACTTCGGGATTTTTCGGCATTTTCAGTAAATACTATACCGTATCATGTCTTGTAGGTAAACAGACACTATACTGAAAACACCTGGCTTCAATGGATATTGTCACAGTTCATTAATTCGTGATTAGGATCATTGTGCTCTGTACGTAGACCATAAATATTTCTATAAAAAGTTTACAAGGAACATTTACATTCATCACATACCAGTTACACTAAAGGCGCGTCAATGGAAAATGATTCTTTTGCACTTTAAACAGTCTAACATGTCTTTCCTTTTTCTTTTTTTTTCTTTTTTTCAAAATTGACCATATTTTGTCTTAAAATCTAGTCACGAAAAATATAGTTTTCAAAAATCTTACTAACCAATCTTTAATTCCTTTGTCAGTTTTATATAACTTAAATGAAACGATTCCTATTTACTATTTAATACCTCTTCCTCTGCGCCTTTTAACAACATCAAATGCATGCCATATTTAAAAACAAAACAGAGTATCTCGTGGCCAGGACATATATCTCGTTCCCACGACTTAACTATCTCGTGGCCAGGACTTAGTATTATGAATTTATGTTGGGTTTGCATACAGCAACTGCTCGGAAACCAGTACAAACAGTATGGCCATGTAATTCCCGAGTTGCAAAACTGGGGAATGTACATATGTGAAAAATAGAAATAATAAAATACCATCAATATAAGATGAACTTTAAGCATAACAGATTTGAAAAACAGGAGAAGTTAATGTAACATTTATGTTTTATATCCGGATGGCTTACTAGCACAAAACTAAACAAGACCCGATAGATGGTTTATATATTGTATTATATGTGTTGCATCATAAACTGCCAAACTTCAAGTTAACATATACACAGTAACAATAACGATATTTGATATTAAAGGCGTGGCTTACACGTAAATATTTGCGTAAATATTTTAATAATAATAATAATTGCGTAAATATTTTACAAAGTTTTACCATCGTAATTCACACTTAGTTTTAAAATTTAATTGTAATTTAAAAACTCTTTTACGACTGGGTATAAGCAAGCCTGACTTCTATGGAGATGTGGTTTACAAACTTCGTAAGATCATGGGTCATAGTAATTTTTCTGCCGTCTACACTAAAATTATCAAACGGTTTATTAAAAGAGGTTTTGACCCAATTATTTTAAGGCATACCGCATGCTTGGTGCTCAACCCTTTTACAGTTGGACGCTACGCTTTCCTCTTTTAATTACATCTGACGGACTAAGTGGGAGACTCTATGAGGGACAGTTCTTAAAGCCCTTTGGGACTGAATTGTCTTAATGTTCGTCTTCTGTCTTGCTTCGTCGGGCCCTTGTAGGTGATTTTCTTGTTACTCTGCCTTCCTTTACGGCATCGAGTACTTTTGTAATGGTCATTAGGCTGTACCTTTTTCTACATATTTACATAATTTTGTATGTGTTTTATTTATTTCGTCTAATGTAACAATGACCATTCTTAGAATTTCACTTGGCGGGGATTAATTTTATTTACACTTTTATGTCATTAGGAACATATTGGGGCTAAGAGTGAGGTTTGGCGCGCATAAAACCGGTTTAAACTCTCCAGTGGTTAAACTACCACTGACCGTTCCAAGGCTGTACCCCTCTGTGTTCCTTCACGTATTTTTCATGTCTGTATTGTTACTTGTTTTGGTTGTTTACAGGTTTTGTGATGTCTGTCTTCTTGGATTGTCGTTGACGGTAAGTATTTTCCAAATTCCCCCTCACCCATTTTTAACCCCCTCCCCACCTTTTCACCCTTACATCCCTTATCCCTTTAATTCCCTTATGGGCCCGTTTTAGTTGATATTATTTCACATTACATGTCCTACTCCTTTCACCCTTATGTCCACTCCAGGTTTTTGTTTGGTGCCTTCTGGGTGCCATGCTTGGATGTGTCGGGGGCCGCGTCCTGTGAACGTTGCATTTGTCTTGTTGATCTTTATTCTTGTTTTTTTAAACTATCTTGTAGACATGCTTACTACATCTTCCTATACCTTTAGTTTAGAACTCAAATCAATAAAATCAATAAACTTAAATCATGAAAAATTAAAATTTATATGTGCAAACATATTGTAATAAGAAATATTTTATTCGAATGAAATAAGCTATTTAGCAAATCTATTGTTTAAACACTCTTCTCCTTTTTTTCATCAAAATTCATTAACCGATGTGATTCTCTCTAATCAGTTTACTGGGCATCTGCTTCAACGAAGTAATGATAAATATAATGTCATTGTTAATTGCCATATATTTTTCTCTTTTTCGTAATGCCACATAATATCAAACAAATTACATTATTATCACAAAATTTGTAGAAACAACTAGTATTGTTATCAAAAGAATAAATTGTTTTTCAGTTACAACATGCAGAAACCAATTATATAAGGCAATTTTATAAAACCAAACGTATTAATTACACGAATAGCATAATGTTCTCACATACGTCATTATTCCAAAGATTAACAAAACCAGCAAGCAGATATAAATGATACATATGAGTAGGGCATACAAGCTGTAACGGAAATGGTATTATAGATTAAACCATATTCTTTTTTTTTTAATCTTTATAACGTGTTTCCTTTGATGCCTATTTCAAGGTAAAGATATATTATCTGCAGGTTTCGTCTGCACTGGCTCTTGATCTCCATGAACATATCTAAACTTAGACACGTCTCGTTCAATAATTTTCCTCTATGCTAGATTGTGAGCATAGAACCTTTCATAGCAATGATAACTCCAGGGGTAGGGTCATATGCTGTTTCAAATTTATTACGTTGTTTCCGTTTTAAGCACACGATCTACAAGTTTCAAATTATTTGGCTGAGCTCTACGTTTTTTATTAGCGTATATTTTGTTTTTCGATTTTGATAGACTGTCCCTGTCTCGAATATCTGTGTCGTTGTTGTCAAATGTCATTTTTTGGTAATTTCGTTTTTAATTTCCGTTTAAAGATCAATTCACTAGGAGCTTTTTGGGATGTAGATTGTGGTGAATTGCGAAAATTCATAAGATATCTACTTCACGCTCTTTTATAATCTTGTCTAGATGCTATCGCTGTTTTAATTGATTTGCAGTGGCGCCATTAATCTCCCAACTATTCCATTTGCCTGTGGGTGCATTGGAATAATTCGTTTATGTTTAAATCCCGAATTATCAGCAAAATCTCTGAATGCCCGACTTTGAGGTCCATTGTCCGTTTTCACTACCTCTGGATATCCGAATATCGAAAATATCGCCTCTAATCGCGATATGACTGTATCTGCGGCTGTCGATTTGATTCTTTCAACTACTGGAAATCTACTGTAGTCACATATAACAACTAGTAACATGTAACCGTCTGGAAATGGTCTACAAAAAGCAGAACTGCTTTAACACCTCTCATGCTAGTAACGTTGGTTTGATCGGATCTGGGAAAAAATCGTGTTGATGCAGCTTGGCATACAATGCATGATTTACATATTTCTTCCACCATTTTATCCATATGTGGAAACCAACAATCAAAAGATACATTAGGGGGTGCAAGAGTGCCCCCTTCTACTTGGGTTTTTTGAAGAGAAGGCGGCAGCCAAGGAAATTTTGTAAGAGCTTGGTCGATCGACGTAACATGTAACCAACGCTGAAAAGCCTTTGACTCTATCTCAATCCATTGAGAAGTTGAAGCACTTTGAAATCAGTTTTGGTGCTGCTGGAAAAAACATCGATCAACGCAAAATAGTGATTTTTGGCAATTTCGTGATGTCCCCTTGTTGCAATGATACAGGAAATTTAAGATCATGCAGTAATGGATTGAAGATACATGTAAATCTTTTTTCTCCAGCTTCTATCCCTGGAGTCCTGTTTATAACCATATTTATAAAATTGAGTATTGCCCTAAAAGGAATTTTGGTAAGCTTTACTTGTAGTATTCCAATAATTAACGATTCCAGCTTCCAATTTTCCACGCAATCGTTTTAACATGAATTTAATTTGTGCTACACACATGTGACCTTTGAACTATGCTGGAAATTGATACTAGCTTATTGGTTTGTCATGATCATATGACAGCGTAGAGTTCCGGAGGCGATTCGATGAGGCTCTCAATGGGGAATATAACGACGCCAAAATAATAAAACAGTTTAAAGCGCGTTTTAAATAAAAAAATTTAAATTTAAAGAATAAGCAACATATGTACAGTATTATAAATTCGTTCTTATGATATGTATTCTGTACAATATTTGCTCATTGTACATACTATTGTTATGATAGATCTATAAGGCAATAACGGCTTTCCACCTAAACGGTTTGCTGGGTTAATGGTCTGTTATATAATGCAGTTCTTTGTTTCAGCAAGCACTTGTCAAACCATCTCGCCGACAAACACTTTGAAGATCACCCAATGGTTCGGTGGCGCCTTATTAAAATTCACATGTGCAGCAATGTATCAACTAAAAGGCGAAAAAACGCTAACATGTGACGGGTCTGAATGGAGTGCACCGACACCATTGTGTATCCGTGAGTTCACAATGTATTTATCAGTAAAACATTTGATCACCATTAACGGTTAAAGGTCAGAAAAATAAATATGAAATTCAAATTGTATGTAAAGGCAATTGAATATTCATAAAAGGGATTATACATAAATGAATAAATAATGAATCTTGCAAGCATAATCTAGGCCAGTATATGTAAGGTCAAGTCGTTAATGATTTAGAAATGTCTAGATTTGTCCAGACCATGTCTTCTACACATATCTTTATGGATGTATTAGAGTCATAAAACGTAGCGTTGCGCACATAAAGTAGGTCAAGTTTCAAGATCGCTTTTAGAGATCAGCGATAAATACTTTTTCAAAGTGAACCGCTCTTACATAGAAGCATTGTTATATAACTTGGCACAAATGTTAATCATTGTGAGGCATTGCGTTAAGTGAAAAAAAAATAGGTCCCGTTGGCAAAGTTCAAGGTCACGTGCATATGTCCAAAGTCTACAAATTGTGAGTGTCGTATTTTGTGACAAAGTGGCACTTTTCCTAGTACATATATTTTGTTAATTATCAACATGTTGTTTCTACAAATAAGAATGTACTAAGGTACCGAAATAGATCTATATAGAAAGGGCAAGTGTTTGATGACTATTTTTAACCATACATCATAGGATTTTCTGTATTTCACCTATACGACGTTCACGTGTCAGATACGAAGTTTCTTACCAGTGAGATATATGTCATATCTATCCAAACACATTTACTTATTTGAAGACACTCATAAGGTAGTCAATTGAAGATATCCTGCAGGAAAATTTATGTAGGATAAAGTTCGATATTTTCTCGGTTTAAGATCAATTTTCAGACACTTTTATGCCGAAAAATATGCTATCATTCACTTTGCCGATGTAGATTCCTTCGTGAATTTCAGCACGGGCTACAACTCGGTAGCATGTAATTGGGATATTTTCATTATCAATACAATGTCACAAGAATCCGAAAAAAATATTATATTTTATTTTTAGCGTGGAAGCCACCAGTTTCATGTGACTTTGAAGACCCGGAACTTTGCGGGTGGTCGCATCACGAGAAAAATGATCAGGACTGGAGATGGAATACCGGAAAGACAAGTACGTCACGGACGGGACCTAGCCATGACCACACACTTGGCGCTGGAGGAGACGGTAAGGTGACATGGCACTAACATGTTCACGAAACAAGCCCAGGGTAGTAGGATAATGGCGGGCTGATCAATTTAACTCTACAATAAATCTATTATAGTATCTCTGGAGTTAGTTCGTAGTATTTTATGCTACATTTCTGCTTTTTAAACCACTTATTAAATCAAAATGTATCAGTGGAGTCTAAAACATGGCCGTGATAGTGAAATAGAACAGAACAATTATTGTACATCATTAAGTTTATGTAATACAATATAAAATGGTTTTAATTCAAATATGATTTGTATTTTCACTGCCCTCATCGCCGATGTTAAATGAGAGGTTTACAATAATGATAAACTCCGATGTAATGGAAATACAGTTTGCCTTTGGATTTATACTTTTATATGCTTTGAAATGTATAAAAATCAATTATTATATGAGGTTTATAACCTTGATAAAGATGTTAACTGATTAGTAGTTTGTGCATACATGTACATTATAGTATAATTACCATATACCAATCGCATCTTTTCGGACCTTTCTGTCAAACTACGAATAATGAATATTAGCCGAGATTCCCCGATTGATGTCTCGTTGATGCTATATAGATTCTTGCTTAAAACTGAAATAAGTCAACAAATGGCGTTCTTCCAACGGGAATGTTTTAAAACTATAAACTACATGTACTTTAACCAAATTTTGCTTACTTTAATAAAACACAAACAATAGAAATAAATTATATGTGTATAAATACATGACAATAACAATATTTATTATATACTTATATATGAAATATTGATGAAATAAAATGCGTATTTTCATTTTCCGTTTTGTAAAAATTCATTGTTCACTGTGGTGAAACATATTTTCCGTATTTTTACCAGTGTCTTGCAAGACTATTTTCTTCAAAGCTCTGCCAGTACACAAAATTTAAGGGAAAGTCTTTCAAACTGTAATATTTAAAAAGAGAAAAATGTATATAATAAACAGAAATTTGAAGTTTTTTCTATAAATACATGATTTATTACCGTCTTGTGGCATGAAAATTATCATATTTCATCCGTGGCTACCGCCACTCATGAAATATTTATTTTCATACCACGCGATGAAAAATAAATTATCATGTATTTATAGAAAAAACTTGAACATCCTCTACGTACATGTTTGTTTTTTACTCTTGTAGGACATTACATGTATTTTGAGACCTCGAGTCCAACAAGGTTTCATCATAAAGCGATTTTACAATCTCCATTATATCCGGCCAGCTATAGTAAACAGACTTGTTTCACGTTCTGGTATCACATTTTAGGGGAAAGTGGTAAGTTTTTAAAGTTTATATCGATCTTTGTAAGGCAGAAATGTTTCCACTTAAGAACTATTCTTATAATAAATAATGTATTCTTCTGATAACTTTGACGAAAATCTTTTGTAGTAAATTCAATCTCAATGCTGTAAAGTAGTTGTTACATACACGTGTTATTGAATTTAATTAAGTATGAAAGCATAAAACTTATTGATCCACACGTTTGTCTGCTTCATGAAACTGACAAGTACTGGCGTCATAAATGGGTACATGGTCATGTCCCACCCACATGATTATTACCCTATAGGATGGTTCGGACCCATCATCTATGGGTTAAAAGGCAGACATTTAACCACTAAAGTCAAAATATCGCCTTAAAATGAAATTGTGTTAAGTTGAGACAGCTTCTCCGCAAGTACCTAATTACTTTGATCATTTTTCTTCATTAATATACAAATATAATTGTTTGTTGTTCTAGCCTTGGTTAAATCGAACCTGTTTCATGAAAGCCGGGCATTGATCTTCACTGTTTCAGATATAGGAGATTTCGAGGTGTTTGTTAAGCCAGAAAGGGCGCAAAACTTATCATCACTTAACGCCTCGTTCCATACAAATGAAGATCGAGGCGACGTGTGGTATAAAGAGTTAATCCGGGTGAAAGAACAATCAGAAACTTTCCAGGTAAGCTACTCGTCTCGCTTCATTTGTTTATCAGGGTGAAAGAACAGTCAGGACCTTTCCAGGTAAGCTACTCGCGCCGATACATATGTTTATCCGAGTAAATGAACATTCCAGACTTTTTCAGGTAAGCTACTCGAATCGATACATATGTTAATTTGGGTGAAAGAACAGTCAGGAATTTCCGGTTAAATTTCGCCTTTCCCGAGGTTTGGACCCGTGAATCCCCTTTCACGTTAGAGCTTACGATCACTAAAGACCAGTTGACGATCACCAGTAAGCTCTGGTCGCGGACAATCTTTCAAATCTCTTACAATGATCATCGACAGTCGCAGGTTTTTCTTATTTAGGTCCCACAACCAATTTCAGTCTCAGAGATGTTTTTGAGCTTGCACAAAAACCTACCTGCGATCAAACTGGTCGCTAGTGATCTTATAAGATCTTAGGCTGTTGCACTATCGTCATTACGTAATAAACTTCAATTGATGTCCTTCTCACTCGGTCGCAGGTAGACTTTCCAAAGTCGTAAGATCATCGTGTGATTTGTAGCGACCTGTCTTACGATCACCCATGATCACAAATGACAACTAGCAACTTTGCTACGATTAGTAGCAACCGTCGTACGATCGTCAGAGACTAGTTATAGATTTCCTGTGACCAGACACAGAACACGTGATCTAACATTATTTCAAGCAGGCACTTTACGGTTCATTCCTCATACGCACTTTTTCTTCCGTTGGAGTAACATCGTCATGCTACCAAAAAGTCAAAGGGTAAAGGAAAAGTCTAGAAAAGGACCAAACACGACTCTGACTCTAAGGGTGACACTGAAGAGCAAGTAGTAAGCCAGCTATTCGGCAGGTCCAGGAGTCGAGGACGGTGACGGTGAGGATGATGGCGATTTACTACCCAAGGTCAAGCGTACTAAGTTCTCTGAAAATATCTCTTGTTAAGTGAAAATCCACTATTTTATGACCAAACACTAAAGACTTCAAGAACAAAGGGAAAGAAAAAGAGAAAGGCTACTTGAAGATAGGCCAAAGAGCTGGATATGTCTGGCTCGTATACCATAATTAAAGTATATACATGTAGAAGTTAATGAAGTCGCCTTGGGCTTCCCTCTCTAGCTCTACCATCCAATTTTCATAATTTCCAAAAAGCAACCTGCCAGCAATCCAAGGGCGGACCCAATATCTTGTTGATGCAGCTGCATTTGCAGTTGTATCATCTGCAGTCTCCTTGGTACGTCGGCCATAGCAATTCTTGGGTGTTTACTCTCTAGCTACTGTGATAAATGTAAATGTTTCACTGTAAAGTCCGTATTTATACCTCCAATCCATCAGTCTTTTTTAGGTTTTTGTTAATCGCAAAGCTGTCGTGTAACAATCTTACGACGGTTGTCTAGTTGTCTAAAGACTGTCTTGAGACGTCAAAAATCTGTCAAAAATCGCAGAAATAATGGGCATGTTGAAAAATCAGTCTACGACGTTGCGGCAACCTTGCGACGTTAAGGATTTGTACGGCTGTCTTGCGGCTGTCGCACGAAACACAGCGATTTTCGTCAAAATGCGTTTGTATGGCTGCCGTAAGGCTGATGTGATAGAGGCTTTAGTAATCGTGCGATCGATGGTCGTACGACAAATTGTAGTTGATCGCATGACAGGTCACGGGTAGTCGTAAGTAATCCCAGACAACCTTGAGGCATCGTACGTTTGCTGACGTAAGGCTGATATGATAGAGGCTTTAGTAATCGTGCGATCGATGGTCGTACGACAAATTGTAGTTGATCGCATGACAGGTCACGGGTAGTCGTAAGTAATCCCAGACAATCTTGAGGCACCGTACGTTTGCTGATGACCTGTCGTGGGATTGTCAATGACTGGTCGTACGATAATCGCGGAAGTAAATTTATCTGTGCAAAGAGGGTTAGGTTGCAGACGTAATCGTAAGCTCTAGTGTGACTGGGGTTTAACCATCTTATCTACATATAAGTAGGGGAATGTGTCAAGTTACCTGAATGAGCATTTTGTGAAAAAATGTCTATTTTCATCGAAAAGTCTCCCGTTACAAGTTCAAATTTCTTTAAAACTTTAAAAATTGCTTCAATACTAATCAAACTTTACACTAATATTGACTAAACCATTGCCGTTGTAACAACATGCTCAGTCTTAAATTTCCTGTTACCATGGCAACGAGGGACTTCTCAAAATTTCCCAAAAATCACTATTGTGCGTTGATTTTTACAATCAAAATCGATTTCAAAGTACAAAGTCAAAGGCTTTTCAGCGATGGTTACACGTTACCTTATTTATGATCGAGCTGGGGTCATCTTAAGCCTCTCACAAGTCCAGAATTTTCTTGGCGATGAGAGGGGGTTGTTGCCCCCTTCAAACCCCCGAAACAGAAGAGGGAACATCTGCCTTCTGGCAGCCCCCTGATAAATCGTTTACATAGGGGCGACGCCCAAAAAGGGTCACTTTTTAACATAACATTTCTCAAACAAAAACAAGTGTTGGATGCCTAAATAAGGCTTTTTTTGAGACAACAAAAAGGGGGTGAAAAAGGCGTTAAAAGGCGTGTATATCTGGTAATGGGTTAATGTACACAAAAAATGGCTTGTTTCAGATATTAATGGTGGCAACACGTGGGACTGGGTTAAGGAGCGATTTCGCCTTTGATGATGTCTCTCTGGCGCGCTGTGCAGGTTGGTTTTTATATTCAATTTACATATTTTTTAAGTCTAGTACCTATGTATTCCTATGATTTATATCTTTAGAGTGTCATTGTGTAATTACAGCATATGAATTTACTGTAGCCGAACTGTATGTAAATGCGCGAGAAAAAGCATCTGCCTTACACTAATGTAAAATTTCAATTTCGACAGAAATCCACTTCATTATATGTACTTGTGTTAAAAAACTGAAGACACGTGGACTTTTTTCTAGTTATATAAAAATGTAACAGAACTATGCACACATAACTGAGTTAAAACTATGACGTCACCACGGGGGAGGAAGTGTTACACGAGGGATGGAGTTCTTATGATAACTTGTCAAGGAGTTCTTGTGATAACTGTCACGGAGTTCATCGGAAAACTATTATATATACTGCAAAAACACTCGTCAAAAATGGTAATTTTCATCTGTAAAAAGTAAGTTTTAGGTGCTAAATTAATCTTTAATGATTAAGCTTGCCTTACATATTGCATTATGTGTCAAAAACTAATTCATAGTCCATTTTTCATCGCCTATTGCTTAAAATCTTGTAGTTTTGAGTAAAATTTCCAAATTATTTGCCAATTCGCAAGTATTGACCTGTTTATTTCAAGTCTTTATCCTTGCCATACATAATTACCTAATTATAATGCAAATTGCAAACATAAAGCCCCGACTAACAAATGTATACCCGATTTTTCAAACGTCCCGGAGTTCTTGTGATAACTCAAAATATGTCCTGGAGTTCTTATGATAACTTTTGTTACTGCCAATGTGTTTCTTGTGCTAAATCACGCCATGTATTAGCGTTTTTTATTATTATACCCCCGCACAACGAAGTTGTAAGGGGTGTATACTGGAATCAGCTTGTCTGTCCGACCGTCCGGACGTCCGGCCGCCCGAACGTCTCCCCGTCAGTCCGTCGGTTTTTCCTTGTCCGCCCAATAACTTGAGATATCTTTGGCCCATAGTCTTCATATTTGGTATGGAGGTTAGTCATGATTAGAAGATGACCCCTATTGATTTTGGAGTCACTGAATCAAAGGTCAAGGTCACAGGGGCCTTGACTTTAAAAAGCTTGCCGCCCAATAACTTGAGATTCCTTTGGCCCACAGTCTTCATATTTGGTAATGGAGGTTAGTCATGATTAGAAGATGACCCCTATTGATTTTTGGAAGTCACTGAATCAAAGGTCAAGGTCACAGGGGCCTTGACTTTAAAAAAGCTTTTTGCCGCCCAATAACTTGAGATTCCTTTTGCCCAAGTCTTCATATTTGGCATGGAGTTTGTCATAATTAGTCGATGAACTTCCTATTGACTTTTGAGGTCACTGGGTCAAAGGTAAAGGTCACAGGGGCCTTGTCTAAAAAAAAGCTTTCCCGCGCCAATAACTTTAGTTTCCTTTGACCCACAGTCTTCATATTTGGCATGGAGGTTAGTCATGATAAGTTAATGACCCCTATTGATTTTGAGGTTACTGGGTCAAAGGTCAAGGTCACAGGGCCCTTGACTAAAAAACTTGATTTTAAAATTTTTCACATTTGAAGCAGGAGAATACATATCTTAGCAATGCACTGGCTTAGTAACCTCAGGTTTGGCAGGGTGGTTGTCCTTGAGTTTCTAAATGGCCACTGTTGATTCTGACAAAGTGGTATGCGGGGGTATTCACGCCATGACAGTGGCAGTTCTAGTTCAATAAGGTTGTAATACTTATAAAATATAATACGCTCATCCTAGTTTTTTTGACACCATAATGCAATATGTAAGGCAAGCTTAATCATTAAAGATTAATTTAGCACCTAAAACTCACTTTTAAACGATGAAAAATTACCATTTTCGACGAGTGTTTTGCAGTATATACAATAGTTTTCCGACGAACTCCGTGACAGTTATCACACAAGAACTCCTTGACATGTTATAATAAGAACTCCATCCCTCGTGTAACACTTCCTCCCCCGTGGTCACTTTTTTGAAAAAAAAAGTCGTGAAAGAGAGCGCCGTGGTGTTACATGCTAATAAATGCGGTATAAAATCGGTAAATGTGCAACTTGCAAAATGCTACCAAAAACGAATGTGTGTTAAGATCTGCGCCGTTGTTTCAAAATTTGAAAATAATGTTATCAACCGTGTGCCTTTTTTTAATGATCGACATCCACTCATCAGCAAGAATAAATAACGCTGAAAACCGTTCAACGAAATAATGTTTAGGGTTTTGTGCTATAGTACCTATGAAAAGAGTAAAACTTAATGCACTAAAATTTTTTTCGTTGAAGTTGTGTTTTCAGCCTTTTTTATTTTTGTTGATGAGTGGATGTCGAATGTCGATGTAAATCATTAAATAGAGGCGAACGGTTGATGAAGTTACTCAAATGTTGAAGAGATTTTCAAATTTAAATACCATATATCTTTAAAAGGAAAGCATTTTTGAAGGTAATGGTTTTGGAAATATTTAGTGACAAAATGTTGACGTTTACGAATCGTATTTTAAAATGATTTATTATCATGAAGAAATGTAAGATTTTTGTGCACATTTAAAAAAAAAATGCTACATTTCATCAGAAAATGTGGTTATTTTTTCAATCAAAATTCTCACGTAATGGTAAAAGCTGGCAGAGGACCTAAAAATGTTTAGCATGCTCCTTTAGATGTTGACTAGTTATCCATAACATTGATTTACTCGAACACATCAGTTGGGATATGTTAAAGATAGATAGATACTGAGCGCCCTTGAAATTATGGTTTTATACCGACATGTATAAACTAGTACGGCTGTCGTCGCGTTAAACGGTTGTCTTCCCATTTGATTTGTACGGTGTGATTTGGGAAGCGTTAGGACACGAAAAATCCAATTATGTCCATATATAGTACTCGTTTAGGACGGGTACGCTTTGAACAGTCAAAGTCGTAAATGTGCCAGGAAATCCGACTGTAATGCATATTTGGTTGCTCGTAATGGTTTTATCATGAATCTAATCATATTCCGATTAACTCTGTGATTATAATATCATGCAGTTCTATTAAGCGTCTGTCTGAACGACACAGGACCATACAATGCTTCTTGGCCAACAATCAGTGTTATGTACGGAAAAATGACGCAAAATTTGCCGAATGTACACAAGCTCTTAAAAATAAATGATTACTAAGTTTTCTATGCATTAAAATATGTTTAACCACGTAAAAAACACGAATTTGTCATAAACACTACGTTTAGATGTATACGAGCTGTTTAATTTATTACGCGGTAAATGTTTCTTTAGACAATTCAACCAATTCACACTCAGGTTCTTAGAAGGGACATCAATTTTTAAATGTATTCCCTTGTTTTGTGACTTTTCTTTGGTATAATTAATTTGCACAGTATGTATGAAATGAAATAACCTTACTTTTCTCATCAAACCAGTGCGGTGACACAGGGGTGACATGTGTGTGTTTTTATTTAATCTCAATGCGCACGCGATAACTATGTCGTGGCCACCACGACATAATATTTCGCGCGAAAACACTAAAATATCTCGTGGCCACGACTTTGTTACCCGTGGCCATGACTAAGTTAACCCGTGGCCACGAACTTTAGTAACCCCATTGCCACGAACATAGTATCTCGTGGCCATAAACAAAGTATCTCGTATGTACGAGAATAAATAAAAACACACACACATGTCACCTCTGTGAACACCGTAAGCCAGTGATGTTGTTGCCTCTTTATATATATTTGAAACGCACTTACCCCAAAATAAATCAACTACCTAAAATTGATCGCAGTTGTTTGTTCAGAAGTCAGTCAGTCCTTCGTGAATAGTCGTGAGATAGTGTTGTTAAAGTGTATCTTATTGTGTTTAGGTTTTAAATGAGCACCGATTTGTATTTCAGATAGCAAGTCAGGAAATTAGCTCACCAACAACTATAAAACAATCAACGGTAAAATTAACAACAAGAACGATGCCACAACCCACAACGAAAAAAACAACACATCCAAACCTACAACAACAAAAACAGCAACAACACAAACAAAACAACTACTACGCAATCAGGGTACAAAAAAAAACCGGCTTTAAGTTTAATTATATTGTATTATATCAAAATATACAAACAATATACAATTTCATAATTTTACAAACATAATCAAGCGTACATACAAAAGGTTTGCCAAAACTTCTAACAACATTTATCGTGGGCCCTTCCCTGATGTTAGTCAAAAAAATAAGTTTATACTATTTTTATTAATCAATTCTATCGAATTTCAGTTTTTTTAATTAATTTTTCAGGAAGTAAATTTTAACAAATGTTTTATAAATTATGTAAATATAAAAAAATCTCATGAGAAAAATAAAAAAATAGAAATATAGATAAGCATTATAATACAATTATGATTCTAAGAATGATTAAGTTAAGTTATTTAAATGTATAAAAAATATAAGTTTTTAAAAAGTCAATAGTGTTCAATTTTAAGTTATTTATGGCTTTTGAATTTTAGTATTTTAAGTAATCAACTTTTGAGAAAAAAATTATTAAATAATGAATGAAATAATAAAATTATTGTAATAACAAAAACTGCAAATAAATAAATAAATACGAAGATATTGACCACACAAAAACCCTGTTTCAACAAAAATTTACTGTTTCAGCAGTAAAATGTCTGATTTTATTCAATTAGATCTCTTGCTTGATTTAATAA